TATATCTCTTTTATACTATTTTTTTTTAATATATTCCTCTTTAAAGATTCTTTATTGTTTTGCTCAATACATATGGTTTATCATATCCACTAAAACTATTTGCATCAAACTCATAATGATCTTGTTTAGAAGATGATGCAAATATCATTTTTAGGAAAGTGTTTATACACGTTTCAAGCCTAAATATTTCCTATAGTATTCTTGATCTTGTGTTTGTTATTTGTTTCCATAGTGTTTTCATCCTCTCCCTTATGGTATTTTTTCAACAATCTAAAAATGATATTTTATAAGTTTATACAAATTCACCATGGAGGCCACGAATACCATAAAATTATTAAATCAAGATTTTATTCGTTTGGATCGTTTTGATGGAACGAATTTTCTCGTTAGCAAGATAAGATGAAGTTTATGTTGACTGCTTTAAAGATCTTCTATGTGCTTGATCCAAATCTTCAATCAATTCGTGATCCAACCGACGATGACACCGATGAAGTCAAGGCTGAACAAAAGAGAAATGAAGATGAAGTTATGTGTAGAGGACACATTATCAATGGTCTTTCGGACTGGCTTTATGATCTTTATACGATGGAACCATCTGCAAAAGTAATTTGGGATGCTTTGGAATTCAAGTATCATACCGATGAGGAAGGTACAAAGAAATTTTTAATTTCTAAATATTTTGATTACAAGTTTGTGGATGATAAGCCAATCTTGGCACAAGTGCATGAGTTGCAGGTCATTGTTAATCAATTGAAGGCTGAAAAAATCAAACTTCCTGAACCTTTTCAAGTAGGGGCTATAATAGTCAAGTTGCCTTTATCTTGGAAATGGTATAGGAAGAAGATTTTGCATGACTCCAAAGATATCACTTTGAAGTAAATTCAAAAACATCTTCAAATCGAGGAGGAATCGAGGATGAGAGACAAGAGCGATAACTCTTTTGGCAATATAAAAGCAAATACTGTGAATCGGCCTAAGAATTCCAACAAAGGTAAGCAAAACAAGGAGAATCATTTTGGCCCCAAAAGGGATCAAAGAAAATTTAAGAAGCCAAAGAGTATAGGCTATTTTATTTATGGAAAACCTGGTCATTTTGCTAGGGATTGCAGATTTAAGAAAAATAAAAAATCGAAAGTCAACTCTGTTGAGGAAGATGATAATATAATTGCTACGGTGAGCGAAGTGAATGCCATATTTGATAAGATTTCTGGTTGGTGGTATGATACTTATGCTACCGTCCATGTTTGCTATGATAATATACTCTTTAAGACTTACAAAAAAACACAGAAGGGCAAGAGATTCAAATAGGAAATGAAATTAGTTGTAATGTGATTGGTAAGGGAAATGTGGAACTCACTTTCATTTCGGGAAAGAAAATCACTCTTACTAATGCTCTTCATGTACCATATATGAGTAGAAATTTAGTAAGTAGGAATCTCTTTGGTAAATCTGGAATTAAATATGTATTTGAATCCAGGAAGTTAATTCTATCCCGTAATGGAACTTTTGTTGGAAAAGGCTATTCTGTTGGGGGAATGGTCAAATTATCTATTGTTGATAATGATTTTAAATTTAATAAAAATATTATTTATGTTTATATTGTTGATTCTTATTTATTACTATATAATAGATTGGAACTAGCACCATTAAAAAATGATTAAGTGTGGTTTTATAAATTATCATTTTGATTATCTTAATAAATATGAAATTTATGTTAAATCAAAGATGATGAAGAAACCTTTCAAAATTATCGAAAGATATACTAATTTGTTAGACTTAATATATTCTGATATATGTAAATTAAATAACATATTAACAAGAGGAGATAATAGATATTTCATTACTTTTATAGATGATATGTCTAGGTTGACATATGTTTAATTATTGAAACATAAAAAATGATGCTTTAATGCTTTTAAATCATATAAAGCAGAAATTGAAAATCAATTAGGCAAGAAAATTAAAGTTTTAAGAAGTGATAGAGAAGGAGAATACTTTCCTAATGAATTTAACTTATTTTGTGAACAACATGATATAATTCATGAATGTTCAACACCTATAACACATGAGCAAAATGGATTTAGTAGAAATAAAAAATAGAACTTATCTAGAAATGATTAATGCTATGTTATTACATGCTAAATTATCTTATAATTTATGGGGAAAAGCTTTATTGACAGCATATCATATTTTAAATAGAATTCCCTCTAAAAAGAATAAGATCTTTCCTTATGAGTTATGAGAAGGAAGATAACCTAACATTGGTTATTTTAAAGTGTGAGGGTGTTTGTATATTTTAATAATAATTTTTCAAATGACAAAGTTGGGACGTAGAGGAATCAAATGTGCATTTATAAGCTATGCCTCAAATAGTAAAGCTTATATACTTTTTAATTTGGAGTCTAATATCATAATAGAATCTCGAGATATAAAGTTATTTGAACACTTAATGACTTCAAGTAATAATGTTCATTCTCCAACTAGTGAAGAGTTACCAGTGGAGACATCTCAAAAGGTTGGTGAGCAACCTAACATTCCTTTGATTGGACATCAATCAAGTTCACAAGAGGTTAGAGAGCAATCTCATGAATTAAAGAGAAGCACTATATGGAACAACCCGAAGATTTTATTCTACTAGAAAATGAACATAAAGTGTATAAACTTATTAAGTCATTGTATGGTTTAAAGCAGGCTCCAAAATAGTGGCATTAGAAATTTGATGCAATAATTTTTTATAATGGATTTGTTCATAATGTTGTAGATAAATGTGTTTATCTCAAAACTTGACTATATGGTGATAGTAAACACCTTTATGTTGATGATATACTAATAGTGAGCAACGACATTAAAGGTATTGTAGAAACAAAGAGATTTCTATCTTCAATATTTAAAATGAAATATCTTGGACAAGTTGATACCATACTATGTATCAAGGTAAAAAAAAAATAGTGGGGGATATATTTTGTGTCAAACTCATTACATAGAGAAAGTATTGAAGAAATTCAATTACTTAAAAATCAAAGTAGTAAATATCTCGTTTGACCCAAGTATCAAATTAGTCAAGAATGTTGAAAGAACAATGGTTCAATTAGAATATTCAAGTGCTATAGGAAGTCTTATGTATGCAACGTAGTGCATAAGACCTGATATAGCATTTGTAGTTAGTAAATTGAGTAGATTTATTAGTAATCCAAATATAGAGCATTGGAAGGCTATCGAAAAAGTTCTTGGGTACTTTAAATTGACTAAAGATTATGACCTATAATACTTAAAATTTCATACTATTTTAGAAGGATATACCGACGCAAGTTGGATATCGAGTTTCGGATATAACAAATCTACTACTAGTTGGGTGTTCATCTTGGGAGGTGACGCTATTTCTTGGAAGAGTAAAAAAAAAATATGCATAACTCACTCAATTATAAAATCAGAATTTATTGCTCTAGCAGAAGCAGGAAAGGAGGCTGAATGGTTGAGGGACTTTCTATTAGAAATTTCACTGACTTCTAAGAGTGTGAACTCAATTTCTCTATTTTGTGATAGTCAAGCCACTTTAGCTTGTGCGTATAGTAAAATATATAACGGAAAGTCAAGACACATAAGTCTTAGGCATGCTTATGTAAGAAAATTAATCAAGAGTGGGATTATTTCACTCACATTTGTGAAAACAAGTGACAATTTGACTGATCCGTTCACCAAACCTCTTACAAAAGAAGTTGTAAGATCAACATCAAAATGGATGAGGCTAAAACTCCTTAAATAAAAGGTTCACCAACGATGATAACCCTACTCAATATTATGAAATGAGTAATAAAGAGTTCAAAAGGTAAGAACAAGTCATTAACATGTGTAGTGGTTCGATACTTTGAAATATTTTACGAGTCCTATCTAAAGATGTTAAAGTGCTGGTTGTCACCGAATAAGGGTTGAGTTAATTATACTTATAACGAAGTTCAGTCAAGTTAGGACAAATATCTCAAATAATGACAAAGATATTATAAGAACTTTACCTATATGAACCTAGAAGTTAGAGTTTAGAGCTAAGCGAGAATTTATGAGGAATACAAGGATGTTGTATTTATGTATGTGGTATCACTGGTATTATCATTAGGAATAACAAATTTAAAGCTTTTATGTTATTTGGGATTTCGACTTCACTTTGTGATGTTTACACTATGGTAATATCTAAATCGAACAAGTGGAGGGATTGTTATAAATTGTTCAAATTAAAAAGAATTTTTTTTTCAAAAGATTTATTTGAAAATGTGGTTTATTTTGTAGTTATTTTGGTAGTTATTTTTCATCTTTTATGAAAATATTTATAAATAAGTATTTGAGAGTAAATTATGGATACATCTCTTTCGTACCATTCTTCTTTATTTTACTCTTCAAGTAATTGAATTAGATATTCTTTAATTCATATTTGAAGATTCTTTATTGTTTGCTCAATACAGATCGCTTATTATATCTATTAAAACTATAGGGTGCAAATATCATTTTTAGGAAAGTGTTTATTCACAATTTCAAGCTTAAATATTTTCTATAATATTTTTGATTTTGTGTTTGCTATTTGTTTCCATAGTATTTTAATCATATTCTTTGTCTCCATAGTATTTTAATCATATTCTTTATCGTATTTTTCCAACAGTCATAATGCCAAGCCCCGGCATGGGGCACCTGATCGCGCACACCGAGCTCGTGCGACGCCTCGCAGTCGAGCATGGCTTCTCCGTCACCTTCATCGTCACCGCCGACTGCTGCTCCTCATCATTCTACCGGGCCATCGTCGACTCCCTCCCGCCCGGCGTCGTCTCCGTTCCCTGCACCGTGTCGTCGCCGGCTTGCAACGAAACGCCCGCCTCGTTGCCTTCGTCGCCGACCTCTTCGGCACGGACAACTTGGACGTCGCGAGGGAGTTCGGCGTCCACTGCTTTGTCTTCTTTCCCTCCAACTTATTCCTCTTGTCCTTATTCTTCCAAATGCCCACCCTCCACGACACCATGCCGCGGCTCCCCGATCCGGTTGCGGTACCTGGATGCCTTCCGATACATTGGAAGGACCTTCCGGACATGGTGAAAGACCGGACGACCGAAGGTTACAGGTCGCTGCTGCAACAACTGAAACGGTACGAGAAGGCCGAGGGGATTCTGGTGAACAGCTTCCAGGAGATGGAGCCGGAGGCGGCGATGGTGCTGAAGGAGAAAAAGCCCGGCCGACCGCCCGTCCACCTAGTTGGGCCACTAGTGCAAACTGGGCGGCCGAGCTCGAGCCCGGAAGAGTCGCTGTGTTTGAAGTGGTTGGACGAACAACCAGATGCCTCCGTGCTGTACATTTGCTTGGGTAGCCTCGGAGTGCTGAGCCGTGATCAGGTGAAGGAGATGGCTCTGGGGTTGGAGACGAGAGGCCATAGGTTCCTTTGGGTGGTCAGAAGACCGGCAGACAACGGCATCGTCGGAGGCAGCGAAGACGACCCTGCGAGCTACTTGCCTCATGGGTTTCTCGAGAGGACGACGGAGTCGGGGCTGGTGGTGTCATTCTGGACGCCGCAGATCCAGATCCTGAGCCACCGGGCAGTGGGAGGCTTCGTTACGCACTGCGGGTGGAGCTCGACGTTGGAGAGCGTCGTGCATGGCGTGCCCATGATCGCGTGGCCGCTGTACGCGGAGCAGAGGATGAACGAGCTGATGCTGGCGGAGGGGCGGAAGGTGGCGTCGAGGGCCAAGGAAGACAATGACGGTGTCGTCCGCAGGGAGCAGATCTCTGCGGCGGTGAGGGAGTTGATGGAGCGGGAGGGAGGCCGGGTGGTGCTGGCAAGGGTGCGACAACTCCAGGAGGCCGCCGCCGCAAAGGCCATGGTCAAGGAAGCAGCTTCCCGCAATGCCCTCCACGAGGTGGTCGCCAAATGGAAGAACACGTTCTGAGTAGCTTGACTTGCTCGTCTTCTCCACAACAACGTCAGTTCTGTTCTGATAGATCATGAACATGGAAAGCAAACACGGGATTTGTTCTGGAATCCACATTGTTCTTCATTTGCATGAACTGGTCATCATATAATCATGTCGTTTAATTCCAAAAAGAATTAAAAAATAACTCAGTAAATAAGATCTCACTGTCACAATCTCACATGATCAAAGTCATTGATGGATAAGAAGTAGTATTTTATTGGACAGGCACTCAAGTTGCCTGAACAGTGTATATCACCCTAGAAATAATCATGTGATATGTCACATCAATCTACATTTCATGCGGAAACGGTGGCCTTCATCGATTTAGAGATTCATAACGGGGATTTGGGTTACCGGATCTACTAATCCGCTAACCCGCATTCGATCCGTTGTCAACCCCACGAGTCCACGGCGACATCGATCGGTCACGTGCAGAACACGCCAGACGTAAGTTCTGGAAGGCGACGGCGCTCGTTTTCGTTCGCCTTTGGAGTCCCGCCTCCAGTGAGCGAGGGATGGAGCGGGAGGTGGCGAGATTGGGGAAGGGTGCCATCTGCTGCGGTTGGAACTACTGCGGCCTGAGGCTGGCCGTTGGCTTCGTCGACGGCTCCATCTCCATTCATGACTCCCTCGATTCAGGCTCTTCCTCTTCTGCCTCTCCTTCCTCCTCCAAATGGAAGGTTCGTGTGTCTTCGTCTCACCCTTCTTTGATCAATCGACGCGTGCAATAACCCTAGAAAGTTTGATTCGGAACCAGCTTCCCCCGCTGCCTTTTCTGAAGTCGCTTCAAGTTAGCATCGACGTCGTTGCGTTCATCGTTTCGGCTCGTTTTTAGGGTTTCGCTCATCTCGATGTGCTACCATGTGATTCCTTTTTCTCCTCCTCTTGAATGACATCGTTGCAGGCGCATGCGAGCAGCGTTCTGAACGTAGTTTGGGCTCCTCCAGAATGTGGCGATGCCATTGCCTGCATCTGCAATGATGGAACCTTTTCCTTGTGGGAGGAGACTGGCGAAGGTTCGAAATCCACTGGTATATCGAGCGATAGAATCGTCCCTGCTTGTATATTTTGTTAAAAGTATCGTTCTTATATACCGTTTCCAGCTTTAGTGAAACATCTAGGGCTTGTTCCTTGTTTGCACGATGAGCATAATGAGTCCTTTGCTTTGTCTCTTTCCTTCGCCCTCTCCATTGGTCTCTAAGCTGCATCATCATTTTGTTTGATCATTGGGCATTCTGTTGCCCGAAACTTTTATGCAGTAGCTTAGATATTAGGGACTGGAATCAGGTTGATGACAGGTGCTGGACGTCTTCATATATCTGTGTGTCTCTTTCTTAGCTTTGGTTTATGCTTCATAACCAACATCATTAGATGAAGGCTTGTTGGATAATGATGCCCTCTTTTTATAGTGATTTTCATTTTGAACTTTTTTTAATCTTCTGCAATGAGAAATTACATCTTAAATTCAAGTGTTTATCTCTTTATTACTCACTTTTATGTGCTTTATATTTTATACTGTCAGATACTGAACATCCAACATGGAAACTGTGTAAACTCTTTGAGAGCAGTGGCTCACCTGTACTTGATCTCCAATTTGGGGTATTCTCGACAAGTTTAAAGATGGTATGTTGTGGCTTACTTAAGGTTGGCCATATTTTCTGTATGTTATGTTCCTTCTTGCTTTACACTGTTTGGTACATGACTAAAACCTGTGTGCTAACTCCTTCTATCCATTTGTCCGAATAATATTGGTTTGCAATCGGTGATCTATGTTCCATACGTGAAACTGCTCCAATATTGGTAAAATCAGTTTGGTTTCTTGATCAATGAATTTGTTTTTTGTTTATCCAAATCTTTGAGCAAGTACTATGTTTCCAATGCTTCATTTAACATGTGAATTTGACATGAAACAACTTTAATGTTTAAATAATCTCTTACTCTAGTTGTAGTTTGCTTAGAACAATTTACCCACCTTTGAGTGATGAGAGGCTCTCGATGATGCTCAAGACTACGTTGAATATGTTGTTAATATTTCCTGGCGGATGTTACCAATTTTATTTTGTAACATTCAATATCAATTATTCCATACCACTTAGAGTAATTCTCCAGGCTATCTAACCAGTCAACAAACACATTTGGGTCAAATCTACCATCAAAGTCTAGCACATCCACTTTGACTCTTTTAGTCATTTTCCTCTGATTGTCAGCAAACCGAATTTGTTGGCCCGTTACTTGGATTTGTGGATTTCTAGTATGTTCTAGGAATTCATCATTAATTTTAAAAGCTTGGTCATCAAGAAGTGTTGGAGCATAATTTTGAACAAGTGTGCTATAGGTGGATCTAGGATTTGTTCAAATAGGAGCTTGGGGAGTAGGTAAAATTCCTTCATTTGAAGGGATGGATTGTAGAGAATGAGCATGTTGTCTTACTGACTCATCAATCTCTTCATTCATGGGTTGTTTATTCAAGGTTTTGGAGAGCTCTTAGGATTTGGGTCATGTGGTCACATAACTAGTTCAATATTGTGTCATGATATTCTAGTTTGGTCCTAAGGGTGCGTACCTGACTCTGTTGGTTTTAGGATTCATCAGGGTTATCGACAAATTGCCTTTTGGTAATGAGGTTGTTAACTGTTTCAATGCACAAGGTAGAAATGCAATGATTCAAGTGGTTCTCACCTTTTTTTTGGACAACTTTCAAGGTTTTAAATCTTAATAGTACTGTAGTTGTAGTCAAAGGGGGGAAGAGAGAGAGAGAGAGAGAGAGAGAGAGAGAGAGAGAGAGAGAGAGAGAGTGATAAATAGAAAAAAAGAGAGGAGAAAACAAGGGGAGAAGCAATAAAAACCATGATATGATTTAATATAGGATTGTTCTTTCCGAAAAAAATATTAGAGAAGTTTTTGAAAATTACCAATCACTGAGAGCTAAGTGGTCCACCAATTCTGTAGGGACAGTTGTTCCAAAGTCGAACTCTACATGCAAGGGATTTATATTAGAGATGCAAGGATCCGTGAGTGACGTCATTATTGATTGACGCTGCTAGTTGGGGCCCAATGACGTACAAAGCATGTTTCTTGATGAGCTCTGATACCAAACTGATGTAGAACAATGTAGGGAGTTAGTATGTCTTTTAGAAATAAAAAATGTGACTTCTAGAATACCTAAATAGTAAATGAGTGTACTTACAAGAGTAAACTTGATACAAAAGGAATTCCTAGAAAGACTAAAAGACTTTTCAATTTTCGACACAACTCTTAGAATTTCTAGACCAACTAATTGATGACTTTTTTGTTGATTTCTTTGTTTATAATAAACTTTTCTGAAATCCTTTGTAAAGCTAGATGATTTTTCATTACTATTTTCCAATATTTTTCAGTAACTGTTTGAATGGTGTTTAGGTTGCTGCCTGTTCAGATGGATATGTGAAGGTCTATGAGCTTTTGGATCCTTTGGAATTTAACAAGTGGCAACTTCAGGTTTATTACCTTTTCAGCCTATTGTAACTTTTATCTGAGACTTCCCAGGCCCTTAAGTATGCTCTCTATCAGATTAGTTGGATCAATTTCTGCTCGATTTTGGTATGGCAGGATTTCTAGTTTCAATGAGAATGATGCATATGCTCTAATTATTCATTTGGTAAACTGTTTGAAGACTTCAGTAAACAATAGACAATTAAAAGGGAAATTGGAGGTTCATTGAATTTTCTGGCATTGGCTACCTACTTTAGTAGTTTGGGCCATGTATCAGGGCCTGCTGTGGTGGATATCCTCTTGGACAAGCTAATCATCATTGCCTTGGTAAGCTATTATGATGATCCAGGATGTGGCAGTATGTGATTTGGTCTATTTGTTCTCTACTCGAATATGTTGATATTTCAGTGGGCCTTTTTTCTGACTACTTTGAATGGCAAGAGAATATAGCAAGATGTACTTGCTGATAAAAGAGAGCACTCTTTCCCTTTTGATCTTGCTGACAACAAGCTTTTGTTATTCTTGATTCTTGATCTCCTTCTGTATTATTCTCTTTTGTTAGCACTGTTTCAAACATTTGAACTAGTGGTTTGCTTCACAGGTTTGATTTTGATCAACTGGATTTTCACATTTTTTCTGCTTAAATAATCTTTTCCAATTTTTGAATCTTATGCTGTTATTAGTTACTTAATGATATGTTATGATTTTCTGTATATTATTTTATAAATGAAAAGAATTCTGTTGTCAAGGCATATACACAGCACATTTTCTTTGATGTGTTCTACTAAGCACATCAACTAAGTAGTGGTAGTATTAAGTTGTGGATCCTAAGTCTCATGTGCGCTTGCACTCTTATTTGGTAATTGGTCTTCATGACTGCAGAAATTCTAGTGTTTTTTAGTAGATTAGGCCTTAAGGGAATGCAATCCATATCTTGTCCAGTTGAAACCACATTTTGCTCCTAGAATATTTTGCTATTCCTCTGTATATATAGATTTCTGTTTTAAGTAGATGAAGGAATGCGGTAGTCATTACTCAATTTTGGTACATTGTGTTTATGTATGATAACTTATGAGATTATCTATGCAGATCAAGCAACTGCGATAGTTTATTATAATTTGTGTTGAAACTATTTTGTTGTATTTTAATGACAGGCAGAGTTCCAGAATGTGCTTGATTCTGTTTCCAGATTTGGAAAAGTATCATGCTCATCTGCATCCATCGCTTGGAATCCCCAAAGAGGTGAAGGCCAACAGTGTAGTTTTGTCCTTGGTTTCAGTTCTGATCTCCCTCAGTTCAATTCATCCAAGGTTTGTAAAATGCTAGCAACATTTGTGCAAACATTGAATTTGAATCCAGTAGAGATCATTGACTATATTCTTAAAATTTTAATACTTGAGATGGTCGAAACACTGTCTATCATTATGGTTGGCTAGTTAGTGCATTTTTTTTATCTGTATAATGGTTTCAGATATGGTTTGATTAAGTATCGGTATTGGACCCATATAGTTCGGTAGTGGTTTGTATTCATTCTTTTTATTTTTAATGATATCACTGTACCTATACCAGTCTGATAATGCATCAAAAATGGTATTGGATTGATGTTTTAAACCTTGATATTGTGTGTTAAGCAGAATTGTTGCTGTCCAAGAGCCTATCTGTGATAAGTAAAGCTCTGTTTTTAAATCTACATATCGGCCTTTTGCTTGGTTGGGTGGTTTTAAGGATATTTGCCCTTGGTTTTGGACCATCCATTTGTCTAAATCACAAAGTCATGCATGAAATTTTTTTTTACACCATTCATTTTGTATTAGTTTGATGAAATCACAAAAACATGCAAATTACACGAATCTTGGCTTCTAAATATTTTTTAATGTTGTTATAGAGCATGTTTAAAGCTGTCTTTATGGTACCCTCCATGATTGATACTGAAGTGATGCAATTGAGGACTCAATTTTTCATGTTAGGACTCTAACTTCACTTACACCTTTTACTCTCCCTCTCTCTCTCTCTCTCTCTCTCTCTCTCTCTCTCTCTATGTTTGTGTGTGTGAAAATTTATATCTCTGTAAAAGCTGGAGGATGATTTTTATAATGAGTCATGTAGTCAAAGACCTTTTACTCTCCCTCTCTCTCTCTCTCTCTCTATGTGTGAAAATTTATATCTCTGTAAAAGCTGGAGGATGATTGTTATAATGAGTCATGTGGTCAAAGGGTATTGAAGGTATCTGTACGCCTTTGAAACTCTGGGAGATTTTGGTAAGTGATGGTAACATCTATGTCTTTATATGATTTATTTCTGATAGCTAGAGAATGTATGCAGGGTGGTACAGAAAATAAGTGCATTGGATGGTAGAGGCATAGAGTGCCATTTATTAAAGAGACAGAAACAAGAGTGGAAAACCATTCACAGAGTTGTCTGCAAAGTTCAGGCTCTAGACTTGGTGATTGCTCTCAGATGTATATTTGACTCACTTGGTTTTAAAGAGTTAAATGTGTAACGGAAGGAGTATTGAGTAGTCTTATATAGAGATGTGGAGACAGTTTTTTTTTTTTTTTTTAATACTTGGGTTGAATTGGTTTGTTGGTGTTTGTATTTTGCACAATCACTGCAAGGCTTTTTCTGCATGGTCTCTGATAAGATTGCGTAGCAAGCACTACTAAAATTATAAACAGGGTGTTATTTGCTTCATTGCATGAATTCTGAACTTATCTTCTAAATGGCTTTTGAAAGATCCTTACTTATTGAATTTTTGTTACTTTTAGGTTAGTAGTCCTCGAGCAGGCAGTGGTTTTATTTTATCACTAAAAAATTTTCATCTTTGGACCTGTTTATATCTTCATTTTTATAATAAAAGCTTGTTGAAAGATCATATGCTAGTTGAGATGACTAATTGCTTGAGCCCTTGAAATTGGTTTTTCAATAGATTTGGGAGTTTGACGAGGCTCATCAGCGCTGGATACCAGTTGCTGAGCTAGCTTTACCTGGAGATGATAGTGATATGGTGCATGCTGTAGCCTGGGCTCCAAACATAGGCAGGTAATGTTTTCCTTTTTAAGCCTGTAAAGTTAATCCGCTCTCATTTACATGGTGTGGACATGAAGTGTTATATCGATTTTTTTAATAATTTAACACCATGTCAATTTAGAATTTTAGATACGTATACATTTTCTTTCGTCAATAGCTAATGCTATTTATTGTAATAGCTAGCGTGATAGTGATGTTGGTTGTTCTTTTTTGACTGTTAATTTGGCAAGATTTGTTATAGTGCCGGAGTTTTCTTCTCCTTGGTTCTTACTAGTGATGAATGTCTATGATGCAATGAACACTTGATTTATATGCTAGTTAACCAAGTATGCCATCAAAAAATTTGAACTCTAAATGATCTGAATCTCAACAAACTTATCGGTTGGTGTAACCAAGATATATTTGATACCATAGTTTCTTCACAATATCAAAAAATTTTCATCTTCTTAAATTACTGCCGCTGTTGATTTGAATATTTTTAAGTTTTATATAGTTGGTCGTAAATGACATCTTTTGATAGATGAATTTATACACTTGCAGGCCATTTGAAGTTATAGCTGTTGCAACTTGCAAAGGTATTGCAATATGGCATGTACTCTTGGATCCTGAATCCAATGGAAGACCTACAACCGAAAAGGTTGCATTACTTCCCGGGCATGATGGTGAGGTATACAATGGTTTACCAGGTTGTTTGTTTATGTTGGAGAATGTTCATCTGTTGTTTGTTTCAGCTAAAGTTGCAATGCAGGTTAAGGTTTGACTATACTTCAATCGTTGCTTTCCACAACTAAAATTTTATGTCTACCGATAGCTGACATTTTATTAGCTACAAAGTCCGAGGATCCTTCAGGATGTCACTAGGTAGATCGGTTCCATCTACTTCCCAGCCAATTTTTTTGGTCATTCTCAATTTCTCAAAGGTTTTGATACAGGGTATTGAAGATCCAGTGGATCAGGATAGGATTTGAACCCTGACTGACTTGTCTAGTACATAGACTTTTAATTCCATGAAGGATACATCGTACTTTCAGTTATTTTCCTGTAATTTTGTGAAAACCCTCTGTTGCCTATATTTTCTATTGCTAAGACCTAGAGCGTTGATGCCGTGTTGAATTCTGGGCTTGGTATTATTGAATCTCATAACCTGCTTCTGTTGCCGTCCTGTACCTAAGTCTTTTACTGTCATTGGATAAGCTGCAGTTTCAGCACTTTGAGAATTGATCTTCTTGGTTTTCGCTTGTGTAGGTTTGGCAACTTGAGTGGGACATGGGCGGTATGACTTTAGCATCAACTGGCAGTGATGGCATGGTTAGGTTGTGGCAATCCAACATAAATGGGATCTGGCATGAACATGCATCCCTTGATTGCAGTGGTGCACAATCATAATATCATAAATTGGGGTCATCTGAGTGGCTCGGTAACTCTTCTTTCGTTATAACAGCCAATTTTTTGTTTGGAATGATTGGTTTGTTTGGACTTGGACCAGACTTTAGCTTTGAGTAATCAGCTAGCCATTTAAGATTTGCCTTTTAATGCTTTATTAATTTTAAAGTGAATAAGTGGGGTTCTACACAGTTTTTTGTGCATGAAAAGTTCATGATGGTTCCGCAATTTTGTTAATCGTCGCCACTAAGATTTTAACAGGGTTCTCTCATAATTAGATATCGTCAAACTTTGATGTCATTATTCAAGTCATTGACCGTGATGCTGGGTTTCTATGTGTAAAAAAACTCAAATTATTCATTTATACTTTTTAAATACGTATTTCAATCTAAAGAGGGAGCTTTCTTGCATGAAAGTCACATATATAAGATGTGGTTAAATACCTTTTTTGCCATTAGAAACCTCAAGATAAAGTCCCTTATAATTGTCTTAATTGCATCTAACCGATTCAATTTCGCAGCCGCGTCGGTGTTCGATCCTTTGATCCTACTAGCCAAATAGAACATCCGGCGGCAATTTCCTAATCTTGGTCCGGACCAGGTTGGACGATGCCTACTCGGCGATACCCGCTCTAAATCTAAACCCATGGAATCAACCAACTACTTTGCCTTACCCAACCCGGGTCGGTCTCAGCTCGGTGGCGTAAAGATCGAGCAGAAATAGAAGGTTATGTAAATGTTGTTCTTGTACTGTTTACTTCGAGTTGAAAAAGGCCGTATTTATCACCATGGAACTACCGCAAACCGGTCACTAAATACCCGAAATTTCTAATTTACCCTTAACCTTTTTGTTTTATGAACATTGTAAATCGTTTGTAAGACCCTACGATCTCAAGGGTAGTTCTGTCAGAAGAGGTTCCACCGTCTCCCCTCCATTGCATCTCGTCGCCGCCCCTGTCGTCTCGTATCCATTTCTCCCCTCTTCTTCTTTTCTTTTTTTTTTTCCTCTCTCTCTCTCTCTCTCTCTCTCTTCCGCTGCCGCGCCGCCGACACAGCCGCATCCTTTCCTTCCCTTCTCCCCCATCGATCTCCTGCCCTTTCTTGGAGCGTATTCTTGTTCTCTTGTTTTCCGATCTCGTCGCCTCGCCGCTGTAGTGGCCGTCGATCCGCACACTCGCGGTGGCCGCCGTGGATTCCTGGCCCGTAGATCTGATTCGGATGAATATCGTGCCGAAGGCGCGTTCTTTGAGGGGTTGTTTTGCTTGTCGGAGGATTCTGATCGCTCGTTCGGTCATTTCTTGAATTAGGGTTTCGTGGGCTGCGCAAACATGCCGCGGGGTTCACGGCATAGATCCCACCGGTCGCACAAGCACTCGAGGGACCGGTCCGACTCCGAGGAGTTTGAGAGTCCACGGGAGAGGAGGACCAGGGAGGAGGAATCGACCGCAATATCGGGAGCGAGGGTTTCTAGGGATTTGGAGCCGGAGAAGCGAAGGCTCTCGAATGAGAACGCTGGGAAAGAGGTGATGAGTTCTAGCAATGGGGATACCTCTGGGGAGAAGAAGCGGAAAGCAAGAGAGGACGAGGTGGTGGTGGTTGCTGATCGGTGGAACGGTGGTCAGGAGGATGACCACAAGAGGTGGAAAGGTGAGGAATTTGGACATGTTTTGGAAAATAGTTCAAGATCGAAGGCTCCTGATTCCAAGGCCAGTTCAAGCAGAAGGCATGAGGTTTCGGATGTAAGGGGTGAGGATCGTGGAGGGAAGAATGACTCAGTGAAGGAGAAGTCAGAAAAGACATCGAGCAGGAGAGAAAACAGTTATTATAAGGATGGAAGTGAGAGGGGCAGCAACAAGGAGGGGGAGACCCATGATTCCAGGCTTGATAAGTCCGATGATTTGCGCACTAGGAAACATTGTACCAGGGTTGGTGCAGGCACAGAGGAAATTGCAACAAAGAACTATACAAAAATTAACGGTAAGGTAACCCGCAACTTATTAGTATTTTAGTCTGTTCCTTATGGCAGTAGCCAAAAAATGGGGTTATTAGTGACATGTATGTTGTTCCAGAGCTTCCCACTAAAAGGTGATATCATTTAAAATATGCCAAGCGTTTTAATTATATTTATATGCATAAACTAGTTGATCAAGTAGAAAATGGTCATGCACTTTTTCTTGATTGACAACACTATTGTGGTCGGAGGACCTTGGTACCTTGAAAGAGGAAGAGTAACAAATCTTTCCACCAAAGCTAGTGTTTAAAAAGGTAGTACAGTTGAAAATGACTTTAGTAAATGAGCATTTCTATTGAGACGTCGCAATCTTAAATGCTTTGTGGAGGTCCAGAGAATGTCCTAACTATTTAGGTTGGGTTGGTTACATGAATCTTTTGTTATTGTTGAGCAATATCTATCGTTTTATTTTTTTCTATTAATTCTACACATCCATCTCAACATTCTTGTCTCAACGATATAAACATTTTTGCATGTATTGCTTCTAAACCGATAAGCAAATCCATAAGCCATCATTGGTTTATCAGTTGTTTATAATTTCTTGTCGAATCTAAAAAGATATCATGTGATCACACAAAATTTATAACATCCTTCTCCGCTTTAACTATCTAGTTTTTACTCTATGAATATTGTCTTTATAAATACCTCCATATCATTGACTGTTGAGTAATCGGTCCAAAATACTTGAAATTTTTTACTTATTAGAAATTCTTATTAATCCAATCTAATATATCCTCGGTTCTTCTCTTAGTATTACTAAATAACATCTCCTTTATTTAATCTCTGTCTGACTTAATTTAAAACCTTGAAAAAGGTTTATCTCGATAACTTAAGTTTAAAATTAATTTCATTCAAACTTTTAACTAAAATAATATCATTAGCAAATAAAAGACATCATGGAGGGCTATCCATTATACAAGGAAGATATCAAAATATTATTATGAGAATTACTAGTGTGAGAACATAAAAAAAGTTTGACTAGCAGAAAAGAATGATGTGAACATGGACTAGTTGGAATGATAGTGTTTGCAATGAATACATTCAGGTTATGTTAGATGAGACAAAACATAAAGAAGACAAAAGGGCAGACATGGACATAAAGTTATGGTCATCACTATTGTTTGTTCACTGGAGAAGAGGCAAATAATCTTTTCTTGGAAATTTCAATATGATTATATCACAACTTAAAGTTTGGTCAGGGATATATTTGTGAATATATGCTTTGTTTGGTGATTCAAATCGTCGGTAAACTTGAGAAAGAAGCATTCCTCATAGGAGAGGCTGTTTTATGGATTTGCTAACAAAATTTGATGATCAACTTCTTGCATCATTATGTGTTTCTAGTAACTGGAATAAGATCCAGAGAAATAAGTGGCTTGAGAATGTCCAAGGTGGATCATACAAAACAATTGCTGCTGAGATGATTAAATGTAATCAGAAAACTGGATATTATAGGGATGTGGAAAAGATTGCTTACTCTAGGAACTAGAGCAAAGCAAAAAGAAGCCTAGAAAAATGGATTAGTTTGCTGAGAGTTCTTTAGGGATGAGAATTTAAACTTTCAACAAATGTGTGCCATCATAATCCTGGTTATAGGGAGATGACATGACTGTCAGAAGAATTCTTCCTTGTAATTTTTGTTGCCTTCAGTAACTTTTGAAGATATTGAATTGACTTGAAATACTAACTTATATAAAGTGGATATGTGGGAGCTAGAATGAAATTATCTGGGGAGTTTAATTGTAGTGGTTTAGCATAAGAGGATGAAGCGTTAGTTCAAGAATGGTATCTTAGATTTTTACTAAGATTGGCTGAATGGATGCTAATTATTAGAGTGGTGGAGGCGACTTAATTGTCATTCACTTTGGTTTTGAGAAAGATTTTTTCAACTTTTGCCTTTTGAATAGAGAGACAGAAATAAATAAACTAAAGTAGAAATTAGTTTTAAATTGGGTTAGGGGCACAATAAGGAGGCTATTTGTAATGTTGGAGATGTGGGCTGGTTGTGGGTTTGAGCATGTGTGAATATTTGTGCATAGAGGTGAAATGATTTTTGCTTAAATGATGTGACCAATGCTCCTTTATCATTATTAATCAGTGTTTTATCCTTAACCAAATTGTAATTTCTGTTTGTTTCAGTCTTCCATGTTTGTAAATGAGGCTTAGACATTGTTATTCCAAGTAGAACATAGTTTGGCTGTCTTAATCCTGAAAAAGAATCACCAACCATTCTAGTGATTATACATTTAATATGATGATAGTTTCATCTTGGAAATTTGCTGTATACTTTTATCAATTTGTTTGTCCCATAGTTTTATGCAATTAGCTTAAATCATGTTCATTATAATACTTGATTCTGTCACAGAATCAGTCAAGGCTGTTAACTAAACTAATGGACTATATCTGTATGTGGATCAGGGAGACTCAAAATTTTTCTAGCTAATTGTCAATCAAATAGGTTTCCTAGAATACTTTGGTTACTGGCTTGTAATGCTGATGGAGGTTCTCCTCAGTCTCTTAAGAGGCTCTTAAGAGGCTCAGTAGCAACTTTCAGATTGGTTTTCTAGATCAGTCATAAAGGATATAATTCTTTGGCAGTTTGAATCTTTTGATCATGTAGTAGTAAAGTAGAAGAGCAATGCAAGTCTATACTGGTTTTGAGGTTTTTCTTTTTCAATTTCAGTCTTTCACTAGCAATAATTCATGGTTCAAACTTCAAAGTCCTAATGCTTAGTTCAAGGAGTTTTTTTTGGAAGAAACTTTTGTCTATTGAAACTAATTCTGTAACACTAATTAGAGTGGTGCTGTCATCTTACACTTGTGTGAATTATAGGTGATTGTCTTTCTTAGGATCTATGAAACTCTGAGAAAGCATGTGTAAATGAAATTATTGCTTTGCTGACCTAAAGCTTGGTGCTACATGATATGGAAGGTCTATGTGTTAGTTTTGTGCTAAATGGTACTGTCGTTTACCATTTTATCATGTACTATATGCACGTTCATTTTTTTAATGTTACTATTTGTGTCCAAAATGATGCTATGTTTATCTTTTTATTGTGTGTTACATGTTTTCTTACTGATGCTTCCTAGTTTATAATATGTTTTTCTGATCTGATGTGTTATTGTGTCTCTCTTCTATGTGGCAACAGACAAGCAATCACAGGATGTTGTGCACAGTGCTGAGACAGAGAAGGGGCTTGAGAAACACATGAGGAGGAGGGAATCCAGGGAAGACTCTGAAGACAAAGATAAATTGTTAGATGATAGTAAAGATTTCGATGATAGGAGACTGTCTTATAGAGATGATTACAGTCTAAAAAGAAGCTATAAAGATGAAAAGCATGAAGATGCTAAGTACAGAGGTAAATACAGGATTGACAACGAGAAGGATAAAAAACACAATGATGATAAATATCAAGATGAGTGGTCATCAAAAGATCATACTAGTGGTAAATCTGACAAATGCCATTTTAGAGATGATATTAAATCTCTGGAGACTCATTATAAGAAAAATAAGCTTCATAATACTGATCATGATGGAACTTCTTATGTTGATGACCTTGACACCAAGCTTAAGGATAGCAGAGGAAGGAAAAGGTATTCTGATGAAAGGGACGATCGTGGTGACGTGAAAATAAGAGGTGCAAAGGAGCGACATGAACTTGTTGAGAAAAATGTATCAAGCACCGGCAGGACTGGATCCCGTAATGATAAATCTAGGTCAGAGTCTCAACATGCAGATAAGGCTGATTCAAGCCCGAAAAATAACCGACTGAGAGGCTCCACCTCCTCCAGCACATATGCTGGTAAAGATTATAACAGGTATATTTTTGCTCTAAAATCATTGTAGGTATCACTTTAATCTCATTTTTGCCACTTTTGTTTTCTTCTAGTTTTGGTGACTGTTGGACAGTTGGCTATCTGCCTTTTAATTTTTCTTTTTAGATAGTTTATTTAAAAAAAAAAAATTGGTTGCACTAACATGCATGCAGCATAAGAGTTTGTTATGCTTAGGAGTCTATCTATGTCATATGCCAGGCATGTGGAAGCATGCAATTAAAAATTTGTGGATTTACAATATGTTTGAGCAGTTTTTACTGGGAACATTATAAGTTTGTCTCTGGTCCTGAAAGGAGACTTGGGGTATTGTGTCCTTTTGCTTGCATTGATATAATGGAAACATCACCATCAAGGATGGTATTATTTGTAATGGAAGTTTGCTTGGTGCCTTCTAGTTTGACATACCTGTCAGCAATGTGCTTTCGGATTTCATTTTCTTTAACTCAGAGTCACCTAGCTTTACTTTATACTGGCCTAGACAAGCAAACTGAATATTAGTAGAGTTCCATGCAGGTGAGTCCTCAAAGGTCCCATTTCTTCAACATTGTAATTATTATAATATAGTAAATCTATCTTCTACTACCTTTTAATTTCTAGTTACTACTCCATGGTGGACTATGATTACTACAACAATAAAGGTTCACTGCTGTAAGCATCTGATTTGTACTAGGTGTGAGGTGCTATGCTTGCATCATATTAATCTTTAATTGGGTGGGTGATAAATGGTGACCTGGTGATTGCTTTTCTTATTGCAACTTTCCTGGTGGTTGATGTTGTGGTCTGTTCTATTCGGCCTTAGGGTTGTCAATGTTCCTCGACTTTGGCCTAAACGCTACCCAGTCTGAACCAGGTATAGGCTTTTTAGTCAAAATCCAGCGTGTGCGTGCTCCTTGCATGATTTACCATTAGAAATGAGGCCGAGTTTCTGCCAGGTTTTAGTTGAGACCGAATTGACTTATTCTGCTCAAGCCTTTCAGGCTTAAGGAAATATTTTCTTTATGGACTGCCTGGTTCTGGTGTTGACACTTCTATTGCAGTTTGCCTTTTTATAAACCTTAGTGGAAGCCTCTGGTTCCTTTGCTAATGTTTGTTTTGTCTTTGTTTACAGGGATATATCAAAGCTTGCAGAATCTGCACATAGGGAGTCAGCACCGGAAGGGAGACTCCGTGCTATTACAAATTGTAAAGGAGACAGTTTGACTTCATCAGGACTTCGTGACAAAGTATCTGGTGCTCGTTCAGGGAAGTTAACCACAAAGGATGACATCCATTCAGGTGAAGTTTTTGTCGAAATTGCTGTTTCAAAGTATGATAGGACTACAAGATCACCAAATCAATCAAAGGGAAGATCTTCAGCTAATAGTGGTCGTCGGTTTCAAGAAAGATCTCCCTCAAAATATGACAGAACTGCAAGGCAACGCCTTGATATTGAAATAGGACAAAGGACTAGCAGTTCAAAAAATGGAGAAAAAGGGGAGTCGGCTTCAGAAAAGCTGAACCTAGATGACGTATCTCAGACTGATGTTTGTGTTAGGGAGTCAACTATTGGCCCATCATCTATTAATCAAAGTGGTTACTCTGACTATTCACCTAATCACGTCCGCCCTCTGCCACCTGCAAGGCTTGGAATTGACAGTCCTTCTGTCTTGGGCTCATATCAAGATGATAATAAAGTTCAGAGTAGTGATCACAAATCTTATAACCGTTATAAGCGGATAGGTGATCTCGGATATGGAAAAGGACATGCAAATGTTTGGAAAGGTGCCCCGAATTGGCCTTCTCCAGTTACAAATGGTTTTATTCCCTTACAACGTGGGCCACCTCCTGCTGGATTTCATCCAGCAATTTCCCAGTTCTCAGCTTCGCCTTTATTTGGTGTTAGACCCTCCATGGATTTGACCCATGGTGGGGTTTCTTATCACATGCATGAGATGGCTGAGAGGTTTCATGGTCATGGTCGGCCATTTCTTTGGCATAATCCAGTTGATCAACTATGTCATCCTCACATGCAGATGTGGGATAGAAATAATGGTATGTTCAACAATGAGTCCCATATCTATGGTAGTCAAGAATTGGATGAGAATAGTCAGCTAATAGACGGTAGAGGTTGGGAAACTGGCTCTGTTATGTGGAAGGGGCAAAATGGTAATAATACAGACATTCATGTATTTAAGAAAGAACGGGAATCATCGATACATTCTTTGACTGATGAACTTACCCAATTAAAACATTTGCCTTTTCAAAGCATTGAACCAAAGCTATCAACTGATTTACTCCCTGCTAAGAGTGATGTTGAGCTTCCCCGAAAGGCTGTAACCAAGAAAGCATTTGAGCCCTCAAATATGCCAAGTGATAAGATTACCAAGAATGGTGCCAATTATCTTTCCAGGATAGATATCTCACCTAATCTTGTGGGTTTGGAGTTGTACAAAAAGTGCACTTCCCTATTGGGAACATTGAATGTTAGTGACACCTGCAGTTTGGGTACTCACGGATGCTTCCAGGTATTGAATGTTATCAACAAGAAATATAGCTTTCGATTGTGTTTTGTTTCTCATGTTATGAACTTTGTTAATTTATTCATTCTGTTTCAGACCAACAAAGATGGCAGCATAGTGAAAATGAGAAGTACGAGTTCTGTTTTGAACTCATTCTTGCCGACCACAAAAGATATCGTTTTCAAGGTATAGCTGCCTTTTATGAAGTTTCGCTTTTTTATTTATGTAAAGATTTGTATAGGTAGACACACGATAAAGCTTTTTCAGTAGTTTCTTTCGAGAAGGGATTTCCTGTGAGTTCTGTTTTCTATATCTATATTTTTTCCCTCAACCAGCTTGTAGTTTATACACTGGATATGCACAAACTTTGGTTTAGTTGCACATTGATTTTTCCACATGCAGATTTAGAGGTGAAAGCGGTTTAGAAAATGTCCTTCCAAATTCCATTTGCATAAGTGGATGAAGTTGGTTATGCTTTTTATTTGTACTCAAAATTTTGTTATTTGGGGTCTTTTAAACATGGATGCACAGATGGGCAGTGGTCTGTCTGTGTCTGGATAGCCAAATAGCCATATATTTTTAAATGTTGAACTTACCCATATTAATATAAGATGTTACTGGTTTATTATTTTATATTGATGCATTGACCTTTTTTGTTCTTCTGACTTTTTCTTGATTTACTAGAGATTTTCCTTAATTGTGAAATATGATTGATATATCTGTCATAATGTCTGAATTTATATCGGTCTAGCCGATGTTCTAAATGAGTGTAGCGCTCGATACAATCTGGTGTTTACTCATTTGCCTGAAGTCTGGTACATGAACTGGATGATTTCACCCTATCTGGTTTGAAGAAGGATATATATTTTTTAAATATGGGTGTCTGGTTTTGTTCTTAGAAGGAGAAATTTTAAACTTATTAAATATGGGTGGATAAAAGCAATTGTTGAATGTTGTTTTCTCCTCTCTTACCATGCCTTGGCCTTTGTTGTTGCCTCGGATCTCCACCACTCCCATCATCTTTTGGTATGTTTGCTGTCTCCTCATCTTCCTCTTCTTATCCTGTGTTTTTCTCCTTTGGTTCCTTTGCTGCCTTCTCCTCCCTTTTCTTTTTTTTCTGTTTAACTCGTACAATGTATTAGTATGATGATCCATAGTTGTAACTTACCAGCTGTATCTGAATTCATAAAGGCAATACAATACAGGTAAGGCTTTTAAAATTTAATATATCATTCAATATTAAATATTTTTTTTTACATATGGCCATCCACTAGGTACACTATGCAATATTTGTACCATACTGTTTCGGCTGTCTTATAGTCCGAGTTCCTAATTATTAAGAATGCTTGTGAAATACTTGTGATTGAAGCCATAAAAAAGTTGTGTCGGAGAATTTCAATCGACTTTGGCTGAAGTTGCTCTAGTGTTGTTCGACGTGTTAGTAATTTGCTCGAGATATCGATGAACAATTGCTCTTGGCAAACTGACGGTCTTTTTTGTTGGTTTATGTGAATATGCAGAGAGCCATGTCCCTCTACGAGAAGCAGAAAGGAAGGGTCAATGGTAAACATGCTGTGCCGGCACCCATCATCTATTCTGAGGAGAAGAAAGAAGTGTCTCCAGAAACCTCTGGTAACGAGAAGGTACAGCAGGGTGGGGCTGACAGGGGTTCCATGGAGAGGGCACCCCTTTGTGATTTTGATTCAACTAATAATATGAAAGCAGGAGGCAACACTGTTGTGGAGGACACCGATTGTCCTGGCATCGCAGTGGATCACAATTCAGACTTCATTTCCTGTGGTGACCACCACGGTTCTGAAGCTAGTGAGGCCTCAATGGGAGAATATAAGGGAAGTGTAAGTGGGATACCCTCTATTTCGGTTGAAAATACACATTGAACAATTTATTCTCCTTGCTAATTAATGCCATCTTCTTCGAGGCCATGGTCGGTGGTTGATTTTTCTCCTCTTTTGATATATGTCATCGGTCCCCCCATCCATTTGCTCCTCGGTTTTTTTTTAATCTTTCTATTTCCCCGCATCGAATATTCATACGTTTGCCCCTCCACATTATGGTGGCTGGCGACCTTAAGAGTGATTTCACCAAATTGGTATGCTGATGATACAATCTCAGGTGACTTGGCAACTTGTGTTCTTTCAGATGTTCCATCTCATCTGTGCATGTCCTGGTACAGGGGAGGCTGAGGCCGAAGGATGTCGTGATGGATGGGTGGGTGCCCAGAGGTACGTGTGTTCCTTCCTTTTATCTGCGAAGCTCTTAATCCAATCATATATCATCATGTGCCGTTATGCCTCTCTCTCTCTCTCTCTCTTTCTGTGTTTTGGTGTAACGCGTCGTCGTGTGTGTGTGACCGAAAGGTGAGCGGCTGTTGCTACCTCCCAATGTGCAACGCCCTCGCCTCCCACTGCTGTGGGACCACCCCGTCGGTGATGCGCGCTACCCACCACCTTAAAACAATTCCATCCATTATCTAATCCGGTGGTACTCATGAACCTGACCGGTAGGTTGTGGGCCCGGTGAGAACCTGGCTGGATGGTAGTCGTATGGTTATTGACAGAGGGCAGTGCGGGGTTACTCTGTCTAAGACAACCCATTTTTAACTCATTAAATCGAACAAGTTTAAATTTATATTATAATACGAAATAGTATTTATTTTATATTATATTTAAATAAATAAATTATTATATATTATTTCAATAATAAATACAACAATAATTATATGTATATTGTAATATTTTTTGGACAGATATATGGATGGATTATCTTCTTTTCTAATAGTTTTGTCCAATTTAATATATATAAAAATAAATTAGAACAGCAATTAGGGTTTTGAGAATGTAAGCTTTCTTTCTCTTGCCTATCCTCTTCTTGTGATGTCATTATCATTATCACTACTTTTTAACCTTATTGTTATCCTTTTCGTTATTATGTCGCCACTACTATTTAACGCCATCATTGTCATTCGTCATCGTCTATCTCCTTTTCTCCTTCATCACTTTATTTTGTTCTTCCACCATCTTATTTTCTTTCTTATTCTCTATCATCTCCTTTTTTTCTTCCTTCTCCCTCCTTTACTATGTCTTCCACAATTTCTTCATCTTCAAAACATCAATATGTACTACCATGTGTAAGTTTATCAAAATAGTAACTTTGATATAAATTAGCAGATTAACCCCCTTCATATAGAAGGCATGAGAATAATTTTGAAACTAAGGGGCAAGAGAAATATTATCTTGTCAAGAAAAAATAAAAAAAGATACCTCCCAGTAAAAAATATAAAATGAAAAGGTATTTTTAATCCAATCGTATAGGACCACAGTTCAAGCAAGAACAGTTGGGTTTTTTTTGTTGATAAAAGTAATTTAAATAAAAACTTTATA